ACACGTGGAGGGGTCCTTTGGGCCACGTCTCGAGCTCCCATCACATCTGCCATCGCTACCAGAGGCCTTTTCATGGCGTGGCACCGCATGACGGGCTCCTCGACGCTTATCTACTGCGGCTGTTCAACGGTCGGCTTACATACTTTGTCGGTCCCAACAAACTATACATCGTCATCTCACATCTAGCGACTGCCCCGTACATGTCCAGGTGCATCGCTTGGCGCTCTCGGTTACGCTAGTCTATCTTATCTTTGCTAGCAGAATCTCGCAAGCCATACCACAACGGTCCTCGAACCACGTCGAATTGGCGTCTAGCGCAGTACTCCTCTTACACCTGTATCACGATACTCAGAACACATTGCACTCGCTATGCTTTGCTCGCGTTCAAGGTCTCTTGCTGAGACTCACCTCCGTTCGGGCCGTTGTAGCAGGACGTCTCACATCTTTCGCCCCAAACACACTCTAATGATGTCAACTTTCTTCTTCTCATCACGCATTTCTTTACAGACTAATCCGGTTCTGGAACTGCGTTCAGCCTTCTCTCGGCCATCTTCGATAAGTGTGGTCGCGCTGTAGCGACTAGCACCTACGTACTCGGGACTTTCACATGCCAACCCCACTACCCCATCACCACCGGCAAGTGGATCACGGAGAATATTGAGCGGAGGATCGCCCCTAAAACACGTTCAACGGCTTTATCGGGCCCCTCAGATCGATCCTGGGACTTGCAACCTTGATCTTGGCGCATACTAGCAAGCGACGAGCTTCAATGGCGATTTCCACATGTTACAAACGTTTTGCTGGGGCGGCGATGATCTCAAATGCACCGGGCAGGTCTCGTGCTGGAAATCGATCACTCTAGTCGCAGACCCTAAAGGGGTTTTCACGTGTCTCCGAGGTACTCGTCACAATTGGCCACTTACCGCATACGTGGACCTTGAGTGTGGCACTGGGTTCACGATCAACACAACACATGCTATAGTGAAGCACGCCACCCTAGGAAAAACTTGAACACCCTGGAGCCTACGTTTACGTTGGGTCACCCACTTTTCAGGTTTTTGTCTTGATGTAGCCCGCAGGCCTGTTCAGGTTTTTTTCTTGTATGAGGTGGAAGCACCATTGTTTATCAGTGTTCATTCCTGGCTTTGGGCGTCCTCCTTATACTTCCAAGTGCTGACGAGAAATAGCGGCACACGACTTGCTTCAGCACAATCAAACATGCGGAGATTATGCCTAGATTTGCCTCGGCCAACGTCCAGAGGCCTCGCTCTATAAAATCCCAGGTTTCGTCTCGTTGGTTGCGCACGCTATTAGTAACGGCTGTAGCACGTAGTATGGACGTTATTGTTACACTAATGATACTGTCAGTGCATGTTCAGCATATGGTGATGCACACGCAAGATAGCTGTCTATACAAGCAATACTTACAACCCGCCGAGCAAGAATATGCTGTATAGGAGAATCATCTCTTGGGATTTGAGCCGTAGTCCCGAGATTTCCCGGATGGGCAGTGCCAATACGATCACATCTGTCGTAATATTGATCGCGGCGTTTGCGACCCAAAATTCCGAGCTGTCGATGCAGTTTCCTTCGATATCCTTATCCCAGGATCGCTGGATTGGGACGCATTGGAAGATAGTCGCGAAAACAGTGGCAATCCCAGACGCGACAACGATGGAAAGCGCGCAATAATACATCCAACGGAAGTGGCGTGAGATGAGCATGCTTGAACTGAAAATGCGCTTGTACAACAGGATAACGGAGATTTTGTTCAGGCACATCACGACTTTGTATGGTGTCTGCGCGAACCAGAAAAACTTGAGGCACGTCCGCAACTCTTCGATCGAAAGATCAGCCTTGTGTTTGCCATAGCCGTACCCAACAGATATATGAACAAAGGCCGACATCGATATGGAGAATAGCTAATACGTCTTAGTCAGAACACCAGCGAGCATACACTGGACTTACCAAAGACGCTACGATCGCGTAGTCGTCAGCGCGTAATGCCACATCTCCTCGAAGTCGAACGACAATTCTGGCAACGACCGTGAGGCCAGCGACAATGATCATTACAAGAGATGTCAAGTACAGCTTCCATCCTTGGTTGGCTTCACCATCTAATGGGAAACCCATATTGAACGTCATCTCGTATGGAAGTCCGTATCGCTCGACAAATTGCTCTGTGCGAAAGACACAACTAAGTCGAAGCCTCGAGCGGACAAGGTCATTATCTGAATGCTTTGTTCTCATCCTTCGGTCTGCAACCAAATGCTTGTGCCGTGGAGCCCACTTTGCCTTTTCACGTCTCTATGTCATGGACCCAACTTCACTGGCTGTAACAACAGCTCATATCGCTATCAGTGGAGAGACATTATCGAATGTGGTGATCTTCGGGTCGGGTGAACCGATCAGTGTTCCTCCGACCCCGGGAAACACATAAGCGACAATCCTTCACGCGTCGGCCTCCCGTTTGAGGAAAGGCGTCAAGGAACCTTGTATGCGGCGTAGTTGTACGAGCTGTCCTGCAGGGTAGTTCGGACATAAGGACATCGAAGGCATTTCCAACTATATTCGCGCACGGCAGCAATCGAATCTAAGGTTGCGACCAGCGTTCTTATTGCCTCCTGCATCTCAAAGAGCACACAATCCTACGGACACCAATTTTCAGCCGCACCTCTCTGTCGACAATCGCTGCTCTTGTAAGGAGTGATTAGATCAAGATGCATAGTCTTGTAACCCTATCATTGTGGCTATGTGCCATTGAGTTGTCTCTGGCTGCGCCGAAGACATTCTCCTACGAGCACGCGAAGACGGAGAACGGGCAGATCACAGGCCATCGTTCACCCAAAGTCAACGGGGTCTGGGAGTATCTGGGCATCCCATTTGCGCAGCCACCACTTGGTGCTTTACGATTCGCTGCGCCTCAGAAATACAAAGGCCAGGATGATTATATTGCTGCCAATTTTGTAAGCATTTATTTGGCGTTACCAGCCCATAGGATGCAAATGTGTTGACGATCAGAACAGGGATAGTAGGCGTCTGGTATTGATGCCGCATGTATTATTAGGCTGATGTTATGCACAGTGGCTGCCCACAACAACCTCCTAGCTGGCCCGAATTTCCTGGATTTACTCCTCAAGCATTGACTGTCCTTGACTCCGGTACGAAATCCCAGAAACAGAGGGCATATCAGTGCAAGACGCCGTAGCGACAGCTCGCGAGTTCGTGCATCTTGACACACACGAAGTACCCTATACTCTATCTATAACTGTGCTAACCGTTCCAAGTACGTTACCATTGATATGCAACACTACCCACACCTGCCAATAGGTACTGATTTGAACCCTTATTTCAGTTTGCTGGTGGTGCTGGAATGCCCACAAGTGAGGACTGTCTTACCTTGAACATCTGGTCGAAGCCAAGCATTAAGTCTGCTAAGGCGAAGAAACCTGTCTATGTTTTCTTTCATGGAGGACGTAGGTCATCATTTGTCCTCCCATCCCCAACGTCCACTTGTCTTACTTGAACAGGCTTCGCTGGTGGCTATACCAACACGCCCTTTGCCAATGGCCAATACCTCGCAAACAACGAGGACATCGTCGTCGTTTCAGTCAACTACCGCCTCAATGTCTTTGGCTTCCCTGGTGCCCCTGATGCAGAAACCAACCTAGGATTGCGGGACCAGCGTCTCGCAGTGGAATGGCTCCAGAAGAACATCGCAGCATTTGGCGGAGACGCGAAGAAAATCGTCATATCCGGTCAATCTTCCGGCGGTGCAGCTGTGGACTGGTGGTCCTATGCGTACAAGGAGAACCCTATCGTCCACGGTCTCATGTCCACATCAGGAAACGCATTCAGCTTCCCTATGAACACCCCAGAAAAGCAACGATCCAACTGGGTTGACATCGTCAACCTAGTAGGCTGCGGCTCATCAAACGACACACTATCCTGCATGCGCCGTCAAACCTGGGAAGTCCTGTCAGAAGCCGCAGCAAAGATCGCTCCCAGCCCAGGCGGCAGTCCCGTCCGTTCAACACCGCCTTTCTACCCCCTGGTCGACAACGAAACCATCTTCGCCGACTACCTCTCCCGCTCAGCAGCCGGCGACTTCGCTAAACTGCCTTATTTCCACGGCCACAACGACCACGAACAAAGCTACTATGTCATCCCAGCTTTTGCCCAAGGTAGAAATGTGACGAAGGCGCAGGGTGACCAGTTCCTCCTTGAGTCCTTCGTCTGCCCCGTTTCCCATGAAGCTAATGCACGCATCGATGCTGGTGTACCCACATGGGTCTACCGATACTACGGCGACTGGAACAATACCCGTCTGTATCCTACATCTGGTGCGTATCACGGGACTGAACTGAACATGATTTTCGGTGGCTCTGCGGATGCCAGTGGCCTCCCTCAAACGCAGGCACAGAAAGACACTGTCAGGCTTGTGCAGCGCGCTGTTGCGGCGTTTACTGAGGACCCGAAGGAAGGACTGACGAAGCTGGGCTGGCCGGTCTTTGATCCGGAGAAGAAGAGTTGGGGTGAGATTGCTGTTGGGAATCGAGCGGAGGTCTCGTTTGCGAGACCGGAGAAGTATGATGCGAAGTGCGAGGATGTTGTATTGGGGTCTTTACAGGGTATGTCGTAAGGGCAGGTAGGGACTGTGCTGTGCAAGCAAATCTCAGCAGATCTTCGCATGAGACCCTACGGCCTTGAAGCACGACGTTCCAATCTTCGGCCTGACCAGGCCCTTCATGAAGTCGTCATTGTATTGATGGGGTCACTACTGAATCGGAAAATAGCAACACTGGAGCAGACCAGCTCGTCCGCTAGTAGCTATCACGTACAGCATAGATGAACGAGAAGGATACGTCGATCTTAGGAGTGTTTATTCCGTTGCGCATATACAGATGTGGTATTCAAAGCCTGACATGGATTCACTGATGACAGTTCCAATGGCATCGTCGGAAGCTGCTCTTACCAGTAACCAGACTCAAGCACGAAGCCTACAATCGTGCTCTTAGCGATATAACATCCAACTTCCTCCAAGCCAAGAACGCAACCAAAGCCACAACACTGATCCGCCCAACAAGTGCCGTGGCAACCGCCCTCCTGACAAGCGGATAGTAGCCCTCCAACATGGAATTGACCGCAGCGCCTCTCGCCATCATCTTCGCTCTCCCGCTTTGTCCCCACCCTCTTCCTACACCCAAGCCAGCTATGCCGACCTCACCCGGCTTCTCTTCCTCCAAAGACCCAAGCGCTTCACTGCCAATACCTGGGAAGTCCTGGGTGGGCAGCCCTGTTGCATCCTGACTGTTCGTCGTTGTCACGCTCGACGCAGCTGTGCTCATTTCCAAAGACTTCTGCTTCCGGAACCGGTATGACATGGCCCACATGACGAACCTTACGTCCCAGTTGGTAAACGTAGGATACGTCCATAGTTCTAGTGCGTTGTGTGGAGGCATGTGTTCAAGGAAGTCGCTTACGACGCCCAATGTCAAACCCCATAGCAGCAATGGTGGTCTACGGTCCTTCGATCTTCCCTCGGGACCTGCCAATGCTTCTCTGATCGTATTTGTGATACTCTGTGGCGCTGCTTCGACGGGTATGAAGTCGGGGATGGTTGCGCAATGCGTCGAGTTGGCTGGTACGAGTTGTATGGCAGCAAACATCATCTTGCTCAGCATGGCTTGTAGGAACCAGCGCTTGATGCCCAGTTCAGACTTGGCGAGACGTGCCGAGACATCGGCGTATTCGTGTGTACGGAGGGCTGGGGAGAGAAGGGCGCGAATGGGGACCCAGTGTGAGGAGGCGACTTCGGTGGGCTGCAGGCGTTGCTGTGGGTAGGCGGGAGAGGTCAGGAGGTAGATGTACGGGCATAGTACCATGAGTCTGCTTGTGGTCAGCCTAGGTTTGAGATTAAAGTATCCATGATGCAATTCTAAGTTGTAGTGCTGTGGAGGGTGACGACGTACGGTACTTTGCCCCAGCTCGTTGTGACGATGCGCTGCGGTAGATTGCCGACAGCGATCGCATTGTCAGGGCTCAGATCGATGCCAACCTCTTCGAGCGCTTCTCTAGCTGCTGCTGCCTGGTCGTCCTCATCCTCTGGATCCCTCTTCCCACCTGGCAACGCAACATGTCCGTTCCACTTGTCACCGATTCGTGCGGCTCGCTTTATGAAGAGTAGCTCGGGGTCTCCGTGCTTGACCCATTCTTGTGAGAAGAAGGCGCTTAGTGACGACTCAAAGTCGAATTCGGAATGGGGCTGTGCGACAGATGATCGTCTGCGTCGAGGCGGCAAAGGGCTGTCGGAGCTGTCAGGCCAATGCGAGTAGTTTGGTTGTATACGAAGGATGAGGGCTACAGAGGCGCGTTTAGGTAGGTTTGGCGGACACGCGACATCAGGATAGGGGTTCGCGTTGAGCTCCAGCAGAATGGACTGGAGATGGCTGACGAGGTCTTCGGTACTACTATGCGTTGTCATGATGTCTACGGGATCTCAATGCGTTGGAAACGGAAGTACGCGTTTGAAGATGGATGGGTCGGGAGCCCCACGGCAAGTTGGAGAGGGTGGTGACTTGTCGCGGGTACTGATGTGCATGCAAGTGACACAAAAAAGAAACGCGCGCCGCGATGAGGTCTAAATGGCGGCGGATGTGATTCTTGAGAGATTCAGCGGCTGATATATGCGTATCGCAACGGAGAACCGAGGCGCGATAATTGATATGGCCGTGGCGATTGGCTGCATCGCTCAACTCTGCGTAGAGGAGCTGACGAGCGGTGAGTAGACGCCATGATCGGTACGACACATGAATATAGGGAGTTAGGCGATGCACAGCGGGAGCTACGTGTATATCCAAAGGATACGAGCCGTAGTCATCTGGAGTTTGCGTCTCGCAGTCGCGTAGCGGAGACGAGCTCTGGCCAATCGGGCTAAAGCCATGGAGGGGCAGGCAAATGAGGTCACTTGTGAGCCCCGCGACGCCAAAAAAACTCCACAGTGTGTCGTGCGCCATTGTTTTGTACCCCAGATCTCTCTGCTTCGATTGACTGCCTCTCTTCCATTGACGACTGAATATTCAAATCATAGTCAACATGGGAGGCCAAAAGACAGGTAAACACACGCTTCCAGTACCCATGGATTATTCCTAACTCTTTGCGACAGCGATTCTGTCAGTTTATGACAAGACCGGTCTTCTTGACCTGGCCAAGGGACTGCACGAATGCGGTGTCCGACTGCTGGCCTCGGGCGGCACGGCCAAGATGATCCGCCAGGCCAACTTCCCCGTAGAAGATGTCTCTGCCATCACCAAGGCGCCTGAGATGCTCGGTGGACGCGTCAAGACGCTCCACCCCGCCGTGCACGGAGGCATTCTCGCGCGCAACCTCGACTCGGACGACTCAGACCTCTCCGCCAACAGCATCGACAAGATCGACTTTGTCGTATGCAACCTGTACCCCTTCTCCGAGACCGTCGCGCGCATCAACGTTACCATCCCAGAGGCCGTAGAGGAGATCGATATCGGAGGTGTCACCCTACTTAGAGCCGCCGCGAAGAACCACGCACGCGTCACCATCATCAGCGACCCCAACGATTACCATGACCTCCTTACCGAACTCAAGAAGGACGGCGAGGTCTCAGAGAACAGCAGACAGCGCTACGCGTTGAAGGCTTTCGAGCAGACCTCGTCATACGACACCGCCATCTCCGAGTTCTTCAGGAAGAAGTACGCAGGCGACGGCGACCAGTTCCTTACCCTCCGATACGGCGCAAACCCCCACCAAAAGCCCGCGACCGTCTCGATGCCGGAAAAGTCTCTGCCTTTCAAGGTGCTCTGCGGCTCTCCCGGATACATCAACCTGCTCGATGCGCTCAACGCATGGCCTCTGGTGCAGGAGCTGACCAAGGCGCTCAACTACCCAGCTGCAGCCAGCTTCAAGCACGTTTCGCCTGCGGGCGCGGCTATCGGAGTCCCCCTCAGTGAGGTGGAGCGCAAGGTATACATGGTCGACGACATTGAGGGCATTGAGAAGTCGGGTTTGGCACAGGCCTACGCTAGGGCGCGTGGTGCTGACAGGATGTCAAGTTTCGGCGACATGATTGCCCTGTCCGCTGAGGTCGATGTCCAGACTGCGAAGATCATCAGCCGCGAGGTCTCCGACGGTGTCATTGCACCCGGCTACACCGCCGAAGCTCTGGACATCCTCAAGAAGAAGAAGGGTGGAAAGTACCTGGTCCTTCAGATGGACCCTGACTACGTCCCAGGCCCCGAGGAGACCAGGACCGTATTCGGCATCACCCTCAAGCAGCACCGCAATGACGCCAAGATCGTTCCTGCCGATACTTTCAACACCGTGATTGTGCCCAAGAACTCTGGAGCTCTTCCGGAGCCTGCCCAGCGCGACTTGACTGTCGCCACCATTGCGCTCAAGTACACCCAGTCCAACAGTGTTTGCTACGCCCTCAATGGCCAGATCGTCGGTCTCGGAGCTGGTCAGCAATGTAAGTTTGACAGATTCAGTATGGTGAGCAACCACTAATCCCTGTATAGCACGCATTCACTGCACTCGCCTGGCTGGTGACAAAGCCGACAACTGGTGGATGCGCTTCCACTCAAAGACGCTAAACCTCAAGTTCAAGAAGGGCACCAAGCGCCCCTCAAAATCCAACGCCATCGACCTCCTGTGCTCTGGTCTCGTCCCCGAGTCAGGCATCGAGCGCGACGATTTCGAGGCCAACTTCGAAGAGGTACCCCAGCCTTTCACCGCCGATGAGCGCAAGGAGTGGCTCTCCAAGATGGAGAGCGTCGCCGTCAGCTCCGATGCCTTCTTCCCCTTCATCGACAACGTCTTCAGGGCGCACCGAAGTGGTGCCAAGTACATTGCTGCGCCTACAGGAAGCCAGAATGATGGCGCCGTCTTCGAGACTGCTGAGAAGCTGGGCATCACCTTTGTTGAGCAGCACATCCGGTTGTTCCACCACTAATAAGTTGGTGTGAGAGATGAAGATGATACTTGCCGATGACTTTAACGTGCATTGAACTGGCGAGATGATCAGTCTAAATGAGATGAGATTACGATACCTTCAAAATGTGGATACTTCAACCTCCAACTCGACCATCAGTAAATTGTGATCTATTGAGTGGCACGGCCTACTCCTTGCCTTGAAAGGCCCTTCAGAGTGCTGCCATCCTGGTGCGCGGTGATCAGTCTCTCCGCGGGAGGAGCATGTGATAGCAAAGTGCTGAGCTCGACACAGCTGCAAGTATCACCATAGTGGTGCAGAACCGCGTGCTTCTTGAATATTCAACGTAATCCGTGTTGCCGCAACGGCAGACAGACTGGCGGCACTGCAACAGCTAGAAAGCGGTCGGACGGCTTTCGTGATGATATATCCTTGAGAAATCGGACGATGTATGCGACGTAGTGTGAGGTACCGATGTGACACGTACACGATCGCAGTCCTAAAAGCGCCTACTTCAGCCGCATTATAACCTCATCTGACCCTCCCTACGCCCGTTATCTTATCTTCAACCATCTTCATCAAAACATCTTTATCCTTGACCGCCTTTACCCTCTCCCCCTCCAGATCCTCCAACTGCCTCTCTAACTCCTTCATCCTATCCACCTGCTCCCTCTCGCTCCAGTTCAAACCCGGTAGATGCGCGATCAACCTCTCAATCTGCTGCTCCTTCAGCGTAATATCCTGTGCCATTTCTTTCAGATCTGCTTGAAACTGCTCTGGGGAGGGTTTGGGCGGGGCCGCGATTGGTTGTTGTGAGGGATCTTGGGCAATGCCTTGTTGTGTGTTCTCAGCGGCGTTTCGTGCTTCTAGTTGGGCAAAGGTTTCGAGGGGTTGTTGGCCTTCGGGGACGCTTGGTGGCGCGTTTTCGCGGATTTGACGGAGGGCGGCGGACATTTGGTTCAGGAGCTGGGTTTGTTAGGAGGAGGGGTCGTGTGTTGGTTGGAGGGTGGTACCATGTCCAGTTCATCTTGGATTTGGGTGAGGATGTCGCCCATGGTGGCAGGTGGATATGTTGTATGTGTGAAATCTTGTAGCTTCCAACGAGTAGATATGAAACTGGGGTTCCAAGCTGCAGGTTTGGCGTGCTTGATCTGAGTGTGTATGCTACAGACAAGTATCGCGTTCGAGTTGTAGAATGCGCCGGCTGGGCTAGCCTAGCGCGTCACCGCCATATCCAGGGCCCAAATTATACGCGAATGCTCTTTCCTCCAATTCACCCCACTCGACGCCCGACACCCACATCCACTCTAGGTCGCGTCAATTCTCGTGTAAATATGTCATATCCCAAGCGCTATCTCAGGATACCGTGATGCGACCTTCCCTCCGCCCACTATGGCTCCCACAAACCTCGTTCCTCGCACGGCTCCCCCGAACTACTCCGCTCCGCGTCCCACGCCGAATCGCGACCACTTCAGCGCGCAATGCTGCGCCAATTGATCTACCCAAACTGAGACTTTCGCCCGGCTCTCTGTATCACGATTCGCTTACTTCGTTCCTCGAATATGCGAAGGAAACCAATCTGAATTTGACCTCAACTCTCGCTATCGGTACTATCTATGAGTACATGTCGGCGCAGGCGCTCATGCGCCTAGGCTTCTCTCTCTTACGTATAGGCCGTATGGGGGATGCGGGCATAGACTTGATTGGACACTGGGTGCTGGGACCTCTCAGAGAACCCATGCCCGTCATCGTACAATGCAAGGCAAGGAGTAACAGTGTCAACCCGAAACATATCCGCGAACTCGAAGGATCCTTTCAGGGTGTACCACCGCATTGGCGCAACAAGGATGTCTTGGGGCTATTGGTAACAACAAAAAAAGCCACGACGGGGGTGATGAAAGCTATAGCGAACAGTTCGTGCCCTATGGGCTTCATACTCATATCGCGGGAGGGATTAGTGGAGCAATTTGTTTGGAACCGGGCGGCAACTGAGAGAGGGCTGCAAGGAGTAAGTGTCACGGTGAGGCATACCCCGCGGGCCTTACTGGAAGACCCTGAGGAGGGATTAGAAGAGGACACGAAGGTATCAAAGAAGAGTCAGGACAAGTTCAAAACTTCGGGAACGATGAAAGACATACAATTAACCTGGATGGGATCGCCCATCTTTCCAGACAGGGACAACCTCGACCAGGAAACCCTCAAGCTCATGCGCCAGATCCCAGCCAACATTGTGTATGTACCCGCCCCTGTCGTTGAAGTGGAAGAGCCACCAGAAGGGCGTTCCAAGGGTTCTGCAAAGGACAAGAAGAAGGCCACTCCAGTCGTTGCGCCCAAAATCGGTCGGCCCCTGAAAATGTTTTCCGAGAAAGCGCCTCGTCCACGCGGAGGCCAAATCTCAGGCGCCTTAAAGAAGCCTACCGAAGGTCATACCATGGGAAGGCCTCCAGGATCGAAGACTAAGCGTAGAGCGGGCGATGAGCCTGTGGTGATAGAGAAACCACCGAAGCCACCGAAGGACC